TTTTTATTATAAATATATTTGAATATCAACCGAGTCAAAGGAAAAAGTTCCTTATAATAGTGACTCGCGCTTAAATTAATAGATTTTGATGTTCATACACATATTTATAATATTAAATGGTAGGATACTTATTACAATTATTTTTTCAGTTTGCCATGTTTAAGTATGGGATTCAATATTTGTATGGGGAGGGAGGGCACGGGGCATTACAACTTTCTATCACACATGTAAATTTTATATGCTCTGATAGCTTTTGCTACTACATACTTATCAAATAATTATTAAACTAATCAAGTGATCCAGACCCATAGTGTCGTATTCCAAAAGGTTTATTCAAGAACAACATATGGCAAAACTATCAATGGTTCATTATTATAGGACTGAAGCTGAAGAACTTGGTGCCATTCCTTGAATTGTTGGACTCGATTACTACACTTATTTTTGCTAGAATCGTCGACAACACGAATACCACTTCTATATTCCATAGTTGGCTGCGATATTATTTGATTAAAATTATCGATACTATTCAACATTACATTTGAATTTTGGTTATTAATGACATACTTCATCTTACTTGCATCGCTCACAGAATCTAAGTCATGTGATTGCATAACGTTTAAGTTATCGTTAGTATAGCATATATTAGCATCATTACAATTCAGATCTGCTACTGCTAAGACCTTTGGCTGATGATGATCTGTGGCACCAATAGAGTTGAACGACGGCAGCATACCATTGTTCTCTGATGGTAATTCACTAAGCGTATTCAACTTAATATCATTCAGTACTTCTTCATTATCATTATGTTCAACATCAGTCCAGGATTCATCACTAGAATAAAAGTACAAGTCATCTCGACGGTCAGCATCGTGTTTTGCGACAATGCATTTTACAGACGTTATCGGGCCAGTCTCATTCTTTAATTTATAATTATTTGATGAATCAACTGAACATTGATCAGTTTGCCTAGAGGTATGATTGCTTTCCTCGCTTTCACTATCATCCTCATTCGAACTACTGCTGCCACAGCTACTGCTACTACTACTACTACTACTGTAATTAACAATGCGCTCATTTCGTCCCGATTTGTCCTTTCTGCATAATTCATTTGTGAAAAATAATTTTTGATGTGTCTTTACCAAAGGCTGCGCACTGCGGCGAACATTATTGAACAAATGATTTAGTTCTATGTCTATTGTTTCTTTCTGGCAAATCTGTTTTCGATGTGGAGCACGACGACGATGGCTATACCTATAACATTTTTCTAAATTATTGCAGCAGGTGTCTGGCATAGGAATTGATTCCGATCCATGTGCTTCACACTTTGGCTCCACAGAAAGATTTGGTGTGACTATATCAGCGTCCTGCTGTTTGCCAGTTGACATCTCAACTTCGGTGGCAACACCAACAATTGGAGAAATTGCTGAGATAGAGTTAGCCGGTGAGTTAATTTTACTCGGTGTTTTCTTTATTGTCAACACAATGTGATTATTACTTCCACCGCCATGAGCCAACGGCCTTTGAACAATTGCATATTCATCGTCATCACTATTATTATCATTATCATTCTCCATATGGTCATCGTCTGCTAATATGCTATCAACGGTTGTTGAATGACTTCTATTCGACTCATGATCATCGTCACTTGCTCCCGAAGTACAATGAGAGTATCCAATATTATCGGAACCGACTTCCATGTCGCTCATCTCGATATGAGCTTCTTCCTCATCGCCGCAGCTAATATCACCACTACTGATCACCGATATCTGTCTATGAGTGGAAACATTTCCGTTGATTGCAATTTTGATGCGCTTAATACGTGGTTTTTCTTCTATCGTTAAATTATTTATATTGTGTTTATCGTAGGGTGTGCTATTATTTCTTTTTCTACGTTTTTTCCTATTTCGTTCGACATTACTTTCGGACTGCACCGATATCTCTGTATATTCTGCCCTTTGATCTCTTAGTTTTTCATTTATTGAGTCTTGTGTCAATTGTAAATTAGAACTGCTGCAAGTACTATTGCTTCTATAGCGCCTGTACTTCATATTTGTATATCCAAAATTTAAATCATCTGATTTTTTGAAATTTGCATGATTTTCATTGTTAACCACTTTCAACAGATTGTAACTAAGTGCAGCGTTATGTTTCATTTGATTATCATCAGAATAACGAACTTGACTTTCATTGTTTTTTTGTGTATCATTTATAGTGACTTCAACTCTTAGCGGACTTGGACCACTACTATTATTTGCAAAATAGTTACAATACATTTCAGACTTCTCCTGTTTTAACATATTAGCACTGTTTATTGTTGGTAGAGATTTCGTTTTATCCTTCAGCCTTTTAGCTGCCAGACGACACGTTGGTAAACACTTTGCGACACCCAAAAACGGCGGTATAAACGACTTAAAACTTTTTGATTTATAATTTTGAACGAATCTTAGATAGCTCAGGTCCTTACGTATCCGTTGCTCATATGTTAGGGATCCATATTTAGGCACCACATCAGAGCCATCGGTAACTGTATAGGACTCCAAAGTCTGCAATAATTCCATTATTGACGATGGCTTGAACACTAATGAGGAGTCAATGCTGCTCCAGTTTCCATTAATATTTGGTATGTAATAGTTATGTAAAGCATTTATATGAAAATTGGTGACATCATTCGTTTGAATATCAAACCGTTGCTTTGCAATGCATTTGGGATCTTCGCGAACAGTATAAATAGATATAGGATCTGCTATTATATTGCTGGACTCCTGATATGCTGGAAAACTATCCGTAATTTCTGCTTTCGAGTCTTTATTGATATCTTCTTCAACTAAGCTAACTACTTTAGAGTCTGTGGAATCAAATTCAATATCAAGTTTCGTTTTCACGTTCGACTCTGTTGGTGAAACATGTTTAATAATCGTATGCAATGGATCGTCATCATCATCAAAGTCTAAATCGAAAATCGACTTCATTGGCTTTTGAGCAATAGTCTGCTCAGCAGCGTCAACCACACATTTTTCTGTTTTTATAGCTGTTTGCTCATTGTGCCGTTTATCGCGAGAAATATCAATATCAGATGAACCTTTATTTACCAAATCTAATTCTTTACCGATTTGACTGAGCTTATTATGTTCAAATGATTCCTTTGGCATATCTTCAAAAATTAGGCAAGTGCATGGCACGATTTCAGCCTGATATCGCTTTTCAGTCTCGTCAACAGTAAGCGGGCTATTTAAACTGCGTACAATATGCATTAATTGTGTTCTAACATCATTATAATCCGTTTTCAATACTACATCTTCCGCGCTTTTGGCCGATGATGACTGCTGATGGGAATTGCTGTTACTATCCAAAGAATGTATTCTCATATTTCGCGGTTTGCTGTGTCGTGAAAGCTCTGATGTAACCGTATCACTATCTGTATTTCCAGGGTCTACAAATCAAATAGAATTAAATGTTTTTAGCGAGAGAAATATCATTCTTTTTCTAAGTTAATGTTTACGAGTTTTTTAATATTAATAAAATTTTAGGGATAGACATATATAGTTCCAAATATGACACACATAAGCAATTACAATGATAATGATAAACAGTTTTTTATTGAGAAAAACTGGTCGTATATCGTATAAATATTCACCATTACTAGATGAAAATTGCCTAAAGCCTCCTTCAGAAAGTTTTAGAAACACTAATACCTAATTGACTAATTATCACCCATTCGATTGTAGTACTCAATCAACTTTGAATCATGAAGTCATATAGCAATATACAAAATTTTGCAACACTCAATAGTGATAAATATATACATACTTCCTAGGTCTAAACCTATTATAATACTTTCTAAACGCTATTATAATAATTTCCAAAAAAGTTCGTATAAAGATATAATTAATTATTAATCTGTTAACTTCTTATAATAATCTGCAACTTACCTTCAAGTGTATTTGAATGTTTCTCGGTTCCTGCTAGAGAAACATTTGATGAGAAAGGTTCCAAAGCATGCGGAGAGTGAATTGATGTTTCTAAAAATTTTAGACGGTTTTATTATATTAATTAATTAAATGTATTGAGATAATATAAAAAAAATAATCTGGATGTATCAAACCTGAACAAGATGACGCCGGTCTCGTATGCAAAGATTCCAAATTTCGAACATTAGTTGAACTGGTACTTAATATTCTATTCGTTACTGAGGGCGCTGTTGTGTTCTCACCGCAGTTGAATGAAGTACTTAACTTCCTACTTTGTATCTCATTAAACAGTTCCTTTGTAGTTTTTACTTTTTTAACACCAGATCCGAAGAATATTTGCTGCGATAGACTTGATTCTTTCGCAATTAGTGAATCTACACCTTTGGAGCCCTTTTTGCGGCCACGTTTTTTTGGAACTTAAGACAAAATATTTTTATGCAATTTAAATTATATTCATTAAAGAGTACAAGTATTACAAAATACTGCTTACTTGTTTCTTCACATGACTTTAAGCGACTTTGATCGAGCTTCGGCTCAAGCTCATCATACGGCGATAATCGACTACATGAGGTATTTGAATCATTATTATCTTCATAGATGGGACGCGTTGGGACCTCTATGCTTGTGTCAATAACACTAGTAGTAGACTTCTGACCATTCGCTTGCACGGTAATCACATTACTGAAAGTCTCTAGTCGACCGACAGATTTAAATCTGCCCGCAAATGTCAAATCTGCTGCCGGAGGGTGCAGTCGTGTTTGGAAGTTTCCGGAAACGGCATCTCCAGATAGGAGTGAGCTCATCGAGCTATTTGACAATGACAAAATTTCTGCAAATAATTACAAAGATAATTATTTCGTTTTAAATATGTTAAAAGACTTAATTTTTTACCAGGATCCGTTGAATATACTTTTGGCGTTTTTGACTTTTTTGAATTTTTAGACTGTTGTGAAGTTTCGCCTTTCAAATTGAACAAAGGTTTATCTCGGCTATCCCTTTTTTTGTACTTTTTATCCTTTTTTAGCTTCTTTGGCCTGAAGTAATGGCTGGGAGTTGCTAACAAAGATGAATCTGTTTCAAGCTTTTTTTGACTGTTGACTGTATCGTTCTCATCAGAGTCTGAGACAATATCAATTACAATAGAAGCCTGATTAAAATTATCGTTTGCCACAAAAGCACTTGATACGGAATTTGACGAGTGTTCATTTGTAATCGTTGATGAATTTTTAGTTTGGTATTGTATTTGTTTGTCAACGATTGTCAACGATTCGTCCCTATTGTCAATGTTAATATTATTGTTTATCAAGCTTGAGAAGTTGGTTTGATGATGAAGTTTTGGCTCAGAGGAATCAATATTTGTGTGCAAATTAGAGATAACACTCTGTAGGGTCGGGGAAAAAGGCTGGGAATTATATTGAATCGGGTTGAGGTCTGCTTCTGTTGCGTTCGATTCGGATTCCGTTAGATTTGTTTCAACCATCGGTTTAAATGTTGATTGATCCATGTGTTTCGACTGAGAATCAATTGTTGTCTGTTGATGTATTCCCACCATTTCACGCCATTTCTTTAAAAGCGATTTTGCCCGACGGGCTAACTGATCATTTTTAGTTCTACGTCGAAGTTGATTTATATATTTTGCCAATCTGGTGGCTTCCAATTGCTCTTTCGTAATCGTTGTACCTTCCAATGCACAAATGACAGAGAGAACTGCCTCCATATTAACGACCTTAAATTATTTATTTGTTAATTGCAATTATAAGTACATATGCATATAATTGTTTAAAAAGTAATTTATGTCCTTGAATGCAATAAATAATTTCACTTACATCATAATTTTGATCAAGTGCCTGCGATAAGTGTGAGGTCAATTGCTGAATTTGGTTTTGGTTCATTTATGCCAGATAACCAAGCTTGCCTGATCCAAGGGAGGCAAATATAACTTAGATGTTTCGCACGGCCCAAACTTTCATCAGCTGCAAAGATTCAAAGCGAATATATATCTAAAATCAATTAATTTATATGTAACATTTTAACATTTTATAAATGCTTAATAAGGCCTAACAAATATAAATATGTCTACTATATAAAATGTAGACATACACTAGTAAATTACATGCTATCCCAAATTCTCACACATTTATATATGTATTTATACACACATAAATAACATAGATGTATGCGAATATATACATATACATATATATGTTCGTAGGATTGAGAATTGAGACAAAATAAATTTTAAAGTCCAATATTTGTGTCATATGTAACATTGCAACAATGTAACATATAGTTTTAGTGTCATCTAAAATACTTCACTAACAAAAAAAAAACAAATTTTTAGTGACTACGAATCAAAACGCACACAAACACACAACGACTTTTTTTGTGTACACGCATACACGTAAAATAGTGTATATGTTCACCTTTTCAAAAACAACATTAATATTTATTTAAATATTATATTAATTTAACACACCTGTTGCCTTTTGTATTTATAGGAACCGTGTCAGTAAAACCATAAACTTTTTTTTAAAAATTTTCAACACAATTCGCCATTTTTTACAGTGGAGATGTGCAAAAGCTAGTGATGGCACGATTAATCATTTGATACACAATAATCGATTATTTTGTTTCAATTCACGATTTAATTGTATTGCAAAATGGGTTTTGAATAATCGAGATGATTTGCTCAAAAAATCGCATCGCTATAAGCAACATTGGCGCGCTAAAGTTGGAAAGCGAAGCGTAATTATGGCACCAACAATTAGTAAAGTGTAGAGATTTTTTTCCAAATTATATCACACGGATGTGAATTGCCAATT